ACTGATTCATACCTTCAGAAAACACCAGGTCAGAACCCTTTCTTATTGTGTTTATTATCATTATCAAAATTATTGTTGATATTATTATTATTGTGATCATTATTTATTCAACTATCAGTGATTATTGGCAGAAGAAAGATGTAACAAACATGAGATGCTTTAATTGACCCATTCCTTTCTTTTCTTCTCCTCCCTTTCAGGTATTTTATGTGAATCCTCGTTACATCCTATTCATCCACCTGGTCTTGAATGATATGATCCAGCTTACAACAACAATCAGCCTGTTTGTCTTTAGTTATGTCTTCTATAAAATTAATACTTCCTTCTGTTGCCTCATCATTACCTTTGCTGTCTTCACCACCCTCAACACTCCATTAAATTTAGCTGTCATGGCAGTGGAGTGCTACATCGCTATTTGTTTACCACTGCGACACGCTGAGTTCTGCACCATCAAAAGAACATACACTCTGATTGCTTGGATCTGGGCCATGAGTGCAGTTTCGACCCTGCCAGATGTGTTTATTGTTGTGGCAACAGAACCTGTGCAGTTATTTTATTCCACAATTTTTTGTGAGAGGGATAACCTGTTCTCCCACCCAATAAGTTTAAAAAAGAGGGATGTTTCCTACATTATTTACCTAATTGGTGTTTGGCTCACGCTCTTCTTTACTTACTTCAAGATCTTCTTTGCTGCTAAAGAGGCTAAAGAGGCTAAATCTAGAGATGGAGATGCAAAGAAAGCCAGGAATACGATCCTGCTTCATGGCTTTCAGCTACTGTTGTGTATGCTAACCTATGTAGCCCATGAGGTAATAAAGGGTCTGTTGTACTGGTTCCCTAAACATTTTGCACATGTAGTCTTTGTTTGTTATATTATGATCCAGATGCTCCCCAGGTTTGTCAGTCCTATGGTGTATGGGCTACGAGACAAGACATTTAGACAGCACTTGAAAAAGTATCTGCTATGTACAGTGAGGCCGAGCATCAAACCATGAGCTACAGTGAAATTCATGTTGCTGCACAAGATAAACCAACTAGATACATACAGTTTAAACAAAGCATTTCCATTGTACATAAACTAAGAACAAATACATTCTGACTTTTCAGTGTAAGTTCACAACATTGTGGTTTGATGAATTCAGATACTGTCCCTGCACTATGTTTTTTTTTCTTTTAAATTATTTATCTCTACTTATACATACAGTATATGATACAGTGGTGATACAATGATTTTGCAATAAATGGAATGACATACAAGAAATGTTTGGAGATTGACTATTAAAAGAAAAAGTTTTTCCATTTTATATTTATATTCACAGACTGGACAAATACACATTTTTTGTTCTTCACACTCTGAGCAGAGTTCAGTGTAAGCAATTACCCAATGGCCCAGGGCCAGTAAAAATATACGTCAGGCAAGTTGATTGGCCGGTCACTTGCCAATTCAGGTCACTGACAGCGTTTCCCCCAATCACAGTCATGAGTCAGTTCACCCGTGATGCTAAAGGAAAACTCAATTTCCTGAGATGTTTATTTTTTTCTTCTTTAAGTCAGTCACCTAATATAAGTTTCACCACAGCCATAATGTCGAAGGAAGCGTGTGAGGCTACTAAAATGGAAAACACAGGACACCTGTGTGGAGGAAGGCGACAGTGGTATGTAGAGCAGTACTACCAACTTTACCTGCAAGGCTGGACAACAGGAGCAATAAGCGCAGAAAACAGTCTTCGGACACACGCGATTACGCAGGACTTTAAGCATTAATAAAATTTACACAGGTGAGTTATATAAAAAATTCACCCCGTAGAGTTGTTATGAAGGACAATATTAGCTATAGAGACCAAAACAGTTTGTTATACCAGGCTGTAAACATAAAGTTGTTAAGTTGGAGATTTTAACATGGGAGTCTATGGGGATTCCTCAAGTGGCCATTGGAAGAACTGGAGTTTTTGGTACTGTCGTGTTGGCTTCATTTTTCAGCCTATGGTTGCTCCTTGGTTTGGACACAACAGGAAAACCACACAAGACACACCACAGCGCCTGAGCATTACATTACATTTACTCATTTGGCAGATGATTTTATCCCAACTAACTTAGAAATGAAGGATAACACTCACACTTAAGTGGAGTAGGAGACCTTGGTCTAAGTATTAAGCACTACATGATTCAATAATTACAAGGAGATCAGGATAACAAGTGCACCTCAAGCGCATAGTAAGTGCTAGTTAGGCATGTTACAGGTGTTAGGAGAGGAGGTGCTCTCAGAAGAAAAGAGTCTTCAAGAGATTCTTGAAGATAAAGAGGGACACCCTACTCTGCAAGCTTTTGGTAGCTTGTTCCACCATCTGGGAACCACAGACAAGAACAATCTGGACTGCGATTGCCTTGTTTGCAGGGATGGCAAAGCCAGATGACATTCTTTGGAGGAATGCAGTGGCTGAGAAGTAACATAAGCTTGCATGATTGAATTCAAGCAGATGGGTGCAGAGCCAGTCAGTCTTTGTTAACAGTCTTCAGGATAGACTTTACGATGGTTGCACCAACCAAGCTTCAGCCTAGTCTTTACTACATTGTTTTTACAAGCTGTCTTGTCTAAAGTCGTTACTACAGAAACAGCACAGTTTTTTATTATTTATTATTTATTTATTATTATACGTTTATTCAAAGCAGAAGGAGTGACCCATTTATCCATGGTTTCTATTGCAGCCACAATCTCAACTTTTAAAGTCAACAGACTTGAATAAAGATATCAGGCTGAAGTTGTGGTTTCACATTGGATGCAGATGAAATAGTGAGAAGTCTTTCAGTTCCTGCCTGTTCCATGTGGATCAGCTGTAATTAGTTAAAACATCTGGCAGCGACGGTCCAAAGTTGTATGGGACAGCATGTATTTGTTTTTAAATAAGCATAATGTTACAACTTGGTAGTTGGTGCTGTTTTGATTTTTCTTTTCTTTAACAACGTTAAAAATTATAGATGTTTCATGTTACACAGTTTTTGCATTTGTGCAGGAGAGAATCTACAGGAAGAGCAAATCATCACCAAGTATGAGAAGAAAATCTATCATTATTTTCATTTATTTATTTAATATATTGCCCAGCCCTGTATACAGTTTTAGACTTTTGGTTGCCTCTTTTGGCTTATAATTTTATAACAGGGAAATAAGTTTACAAGGAGGAGGAAGTTCAATACTAGTTTATGCACAAATAAGTTATGAGTATAAGGAGGTTTTTTTTTTTTATTTATCACCAAGCCATGCACACTCATACACAGCTGGATTTCACAATGACATCATTTCTGACATTCTGCATTAAAGATTCACCCTCCTTAATATAAAGCCATCAAACTGACTTTAGACTCATTTCAAGTGACATGAAAATGCAGACTGAGGTGCACTATCTGAGGTAGGAAAGTTTTTGATGTTATCAGACTGTATTAGTTCATAATTTTTTTAATTATTATTATTTATACAGCACTGCACTCCTGTTTAACTTTATATGCATATACTGTTCCACCACAGCACTTGTTCTATAACAATGATTACTTTTTTTATCTCCTAAACAGAACTTATCTCTAATATAATTAAAGAACTATGCTAGATGGTATACATAACTTCTTTCGACAAAAGCAAAACCGTTCATCTGAAAAGAAAAGAAAGTAAAATTGCTGTAATTCCCATGTTTTTAAAACTGTTATTTGACCCGGCTGTAAACATGTTTATTTCTGCTGTAAAGTCATATAGTTCGGTAAAAGACATTTTAACATGGGAGCCCATGGGGATTGATTTGCTTTTGGAGTGATTAATCCCTGCCACATAACTCTGGAGTTGTGTTGTTGTAGATACGACTCTGTCCTTGTACCGTTTGCTTAGCTTCTCACACATCATGTTCTTCCACACCTCTATTGGCAGATCCTCAGCTGTGAGTAGCAGTGCATTTATTTGAAAGCAGAATGGAGAACAAAACCCATTTATTCACAGTTTCTATTGCTTAGCCACAAACTCAAACCTTAAAGTTATTAGATTTGAATGAAGATATCAGGCTGATGCCGTGTTCACACATTGGGTGTAGATGAATTAGAAAACAGTCCTCCAGTTTCTGCCCAAAACTGATGATTTAAGTGGATCAGCTGCACTTAGTTAAAGCATCTGGTTGTGAAAGTCCATAGCTTTGTGGGAAAGCCTGTATTTTTTTATGTATAATTATGACAGGTGGTGAAGTGGGGCAGATATTAGAATGACATCATCTCTGACATTCTGCATCACTCTCCTTATATAAAGCCATCAAACTCATTTCAAACTCATTTCATGTCTGGTGAAAGTGCATAGTGAAGAGCACTATCTCAGGTAGGAAAGTTTTTGTTATCAGACTGTATTGGTGCATTATTGTATTTATTACTATGTTGTTTATACCACTGCAACCCTGTTTAACTGTATATGCATTAAGTGCTCCATTACAGCACTTCCTGAACAGTCCTAAACTGTTTATATCTCTAATGCAATTCAACCGCTACTTTAGACGGTAACATTTATTTCACCAAGAGAAAAACTATTCGTCTGAAAAGAAAAAAAGGAAAATAGCTGTTAATTCTTATATTTTTTAAAAACGATAATTTTGCATCATGATTGCTGTATGTTATCAATGTTGATATATATTTAAGGCCTGTGCAAATATCGTTATGTAAATATACTGTGTAGGTACTAGGGTTGCACGGTATACCGGTACCAGTATAGTACCGCAATACTTGAGTTTTGAAAACGGTACTATACCAGCATTTAAAAACAAACAGTACTTTTATTTTGTTTTATAAGGAGGAAATGAATTGGTAAATTGGAGCCTGTCTCTTTAAGCACAACGAGGCCAGCGAGTGTGACGTAGTTGCCCGAGCAGATGTAAGCCGCCTCCAACGCACACTCGCATGTTTAGACTGAGGAGGAGAGAGAAACGACAAATCGGGTCTTAGACAGACAGACTGGGTTGAAGAAAATACAGTAGATAGAGATGGCAGCTGTAGAAAAGCCCGTACTTGTGGACAAAATGGGGGCCCGAAGTACGGTGTGGAAATATTTCAGGTTCAAACTGAACGAGAAAGGCGAGCCACTGAACCCAGAAGCACCGCAGTGCAAGCGGTGCTACAAAGTGTGTCTCGCAAAAGGAGGCAACACTTCAAACCTGTCGAAACATTTAAAGAACAACCATACGGACTTGTTCCGCGACTTCAGCCAAGAACGACAGGTGATAATGTTGTTCACCAGTTCACTGCACTGTAATGTCAATGAAAGAAGTACAAAGCCCCTCCCAGCCCAGTAGTAAACCTACAGTAGCCTGCATACAGAGAGCTAAAACATGTCCATGGTTAATAGATACATTAAAAAATATATTTTTAAAAATTAAATTACATTCTTAAAATATTTAAATATTTAAATAACCCATTAAGGCAATGCATAATATAATGAAATATTTTTTACTTTTTACTACTTTACTTTTAGTATCGAAAAGTATCGAAATACATATTGGTATCGGTATCGAAACAGAAATTTGGTATCGTGACAACCCTAGTAGGTACTGTATAGTTTTTGGATGGATACATTTAAGGATGAACACTTTCACTATAAAAAGTAAAGATAAGTTGATTTGTTTTACATTTACTTTATTCTCTGTGAATAGTTGTCTTGAATAGTTGTCATGGTGTTATTGCAATAGTGGGAAAAATAAAAAATAACTCCATACTAAGAACACATGAAAAGTTTAAATTTGCAATACAAATTTGAACATAACATTGAAGTATTTTTAAATGTTCCCCTGTAACAGAGGCTCACAGGATCCTCAAATTGTCTCCATGAATTCCTCATCTTATAACTATAATGTGTCGAGCGGTCTGAGTTATCGAGACTCTTTGAGCACAGCTGTAGCCAAAAATGTGATTGTTCTGGCTCTTGGCCTTACCATCAACTACATCAATGGTACACTGATTCATACCTTCAGAAAACACCAGGTCAGAACCCTTTCTTATTGTGTTTATTATCATTATCAAAATTATTGTTGATATTATTATTATTGTGATCATTATTTATTCAACTATCAGTGATTATTGGCAGAAGAAAGATGTAACAAACATGAGATGCTTTAATTGACCCATTCCTTTCTTTTCTTCTCCTCCCTTTCAGGTATTTTATGTGAATCCTCGTTACATCCTATTCATCCACCTGGTCTTGAATGATATGATCCAGCTTACAACAACAATCAGCCTGTTTGTCTTTAGTTATGTCTTCTATAAAATTAATACTTCCTTCTGTTGCCTCATCATTACCTTTGCTGTCTTCACCACCCTCAACACTCCATTAAATTTAGCTGTCATGGCAGTGGAGTGCTACATCGCTATTTGTTTACCACTGCGACACGCTGAGTTCTGCACCATCAAAAGAACATACACTCTGATTGCTTGGATCTGGGCCATGAGTGCAGTTTCGACCCTGCCAGATGTGTTTATTGTTGTGGCAACAGAACCTGTGCAGTTATTTTATTCCACAATTTTTTGTGAGAGGGATAACCTGTTCTCCCACCCAATAAGTTTAAAAAAGAGGGATGTTTCCTACATCATTTCCCTAATTATTGTTTGGCTCACGCTCTTCTTTACTTACTTCAAGATCTTCTTTGCTGCTAAAGAGGCTAAAGAGGCTAAATCTAGAGATGGAGATGCAAAGAAAGCCAGGAATACGATCCTGCTTCATGGCTTTCAGCTACTGTTGTGTATGCTAACCTATGTAGCCCATGTGTTAAAAAAGGGTCTGTTGTACTGGTTCCCTAAACATTATGTACATGTAGTCTTTGTTTGTTATATTATGATCCAGATGCTCCCCAGGTTTGTCAGTCCTATGGTGTATGGGCTACGAGACAAGACATTTAGACAGCACTTGAAAAAGTATCTGCTATGTACAGACTAAACAAAGCATTTCCAGTTGTAAATGAACCGAGAACAAACACTTTCTGACTTTTCAGTGTAAAAGTCCCCACTGTACACACCAAGTACACAACATTGTGGTTTGACAAATTTAAATACTGTCCCTGTGCTATATTAAACACCACAAGCAATACAATCTGCAAATTCAATGAATTATGAAATTTTAAATTTTTCCAAACTGCAGTTGCAGTTGTAATTAATAATCTAAACATGCACCATCATCTTCATGTTGCAGGCTTCTGATGCAGAATCGCCTATTCATGTAATTATTTATGTCTCTACTTATTCTACATTGGAATGATATATCTTGTACAGTATACATACAGTATATAGTACAGTGGTCATACAAGCATTTTGCAATAAATGCAATGAAATTCAAGTAATGTTTAGAGTCTGCCTCTTTTAAAGAAAAATAAAATAATTTTTCCACTTATGTTATATCTGGCTGTTTTGCAGTGCTTCACAATTAAAAATATGTTAACATATTAACTTTACCCTGAATTTAAACCAAGTCCTCACACTAAAATGTCATGATTTATTTTACAGTCCCCAAAAGGAAAAAAGGAAAAAAGTTCCCACAATGTGACTGTATAAACAGATTTACTGTAGGTCCCCAGAACATTAGTAATACAAGCGCGCACACACACACACACACACACACACACACACACACACACACACACACACACACACACACACACACACACACACACACACACACACACACACACACACACACTCACTCACTCACTCACTCAATACCCATTACTGCTCTTGATCCCAGGACATTTGCATTAACTACTATATATTAAGTAATTTCAAAGACATCAGACTTACTGTATGCTGTATGTATGTATTGTCATATATGACTAACACCAAGGTGGGTGTCAATTCTTTCTCTGTTTTCTCTGTGTATAAAGAAACAACATATTAATTATTGACCTTTTTTATTTGACTACTATTATTTTGTGTGTGGCTCATGTTGTACAGTACATTTTAGACAGATGCTCTTGACTTCAGAATTAAATGATATTCAAGATAATAATGTTATACGGTTCATTAATATGGTTCGAACCTTGTTAGCATCAATGTTATGAATTGTGTGCTCAGAGTTTTTTAGTCTCAATTATTTTTAAGTGTTTTTGTTTTGGTTCCAACAATAAAAGCTAATTTTTTCTACATGTAATAGCAGGGAATCCACTGATATAATAACAGCTGCCTTCTATTTAGGTGTCTTGTTTCAGGGTGCTGGTTTTGTGTGTGCGGGCTCACTGGGATGACTTACTTACACTTAATGCAGCAGAGACATCATTAATGTCTTTTTCTGCTATGACAAGTCAAAATGCTTAACTTGAAAAATGTCCATTTCATAGATTCATGTAAAAACTTCATGCAAAGAAGCTGACCTGCTGATCAATAACACTCTATTCTCCTCTTCTCTAATTGTCCCTGGTGAAACAGCTTTGGAGGATCCGGTCAGTATCATGAGCCTTTCAAACACTGGAAGAAATTTCACAACACCTGTCTATCGGGACACTTTACAAACAGCCGTAGTTAAGAATGTGATTACTGTGGTTCTCTGCATCTCCATTAACTATATCAACAGTGCCCTGATACACACATTCAAAAAACATCAGGTCTGAGTCTTATCTATGTCTAGGAACCAATTTACATGTATGCATAAGTGTGAATCAATTTCATCCATTTATTAGTTAGCACCACACAGTCTAACTGTGATATATTCTCCTATAATCATTGGCACCGTGTCTCTTCTTTTTATTTCTGTCCATCCCCACAGGTTTTCAATATGAACCCTCGCTACATCCTGTACATCCATCTGGTAATCAATGATATAATCCTGCTGACCATTTTCACCCTCATTCAAGTCCTGAGTTACATTGTGTTCACTCTAAATGTCTCCTTATGTATAATTTTGCTAATGATAGCTATATTTGCAAATCTAAACAATCCTCTAACACTAGCTGTCATGGCAGTAGAGTGTTACATTGCCATTTGCTTCCCCCTACGCCACACCCAGATCTGTACAGTCAAGAAAACATATGTTGTGATCGGCCTGATTTGGGTGCTAAGTACACTCTCAATCCTACCAGATTTATTTGTCGCCTTGGCCACAGAATCTATGGAATTCTTTCAATCCAGAGTGTTTTGCCTGAGAGAAAATATTTTCAGAAACCCCTATCTCAGAGAGAAGAGAGATATATCCAACACTGTGTTTTTGGTCATTGTTTGGCTCACTCTTTTATATACATACTTCAGGATCCTTTTCGCTGCACAAGCAGCTTCTACAGACACCAAGAAAGCAAGGAACACTGTCCTCCTCCATGGCTTCCAGCTGCTGTTGTGTATGCTTACCTATGTTTTTCATCTTATGATAGAAAGTCTGACATATTTGTTCCCGAAAGGGGTACTGGCCGTTCGCTTTGCTATCTCAATATTTGTTCAGGTTCTGCCTCGACTCATCAGTCCTGTTGTTTATGGGCTACGAGACAAAACTTTCAGGAAGTACCTGAAAAGACATCTGTTCTGTACAAGTGTTAACACTCATCCACAAAAATTTGTGAGGCCACTGTAAAGTCCAGTTTGAGTTGCTCCTGCTAAGTTTTAAGTTTTCCATATTAAAGGAAATAGAATTTGTTTTAAATACATTAAATACTAGCAGACACATTAAGAGAGTGACTGCTGTGCTTTTGTCAGTATGTGTACTTATATAATCTCTTATATAATCTTATCCCTGGTCTAGCCCTTTAAACAAATAAAGCAGTAATTATTTTTTACTGGTTACTGAGATCCCCTCAAGAGATGTTCTAAAACAAATAAACTCTCCTAGGAATAACAATTTGTGTATAATACATACTATATATTTTCCACAATAATTGTTCAATGACTGTTAAAAATTCTTAAAATTAAATATTCTCCTTCTTTCAGAACCTTTGAATAAGCAAATATTTTTTGTTTTAAAGGTTTAACTGCTGGAAACGAGGTTTCCTACCTACCTGAAAAGTCCATTCTCAGTGTTTGTGACTTGCAGGCTTCAGTTTTCCAAATCACATTTGTGTAAGTTCCATATTGATTGATAATTGTGAAAACTTCCTTTTAATGTGTACATATATGATTCTGCATAGTGCAGCTCAAACAATTAACAAGCATCAGCAGTTGAAATACAAAACTAATACACATAATTTTCCCTTCACTTCACACTCCATCTGATCTCAACAAACTCATTTTCCCCTGTTCTGATTCAGCAGTAATTTCCCATACTCACACATAGTTCTTTATGATATAAAAATATCAATACTCTACACCACATACAATGTTAAAGTGGCTCAGCCAGGAGTAATTTGAATAGAGTGAAATATACAAGGTAGACATAATAAAAAGAACACCTGAAAATCAAAACAATCTCATACTATAGCCTGAAATAAAGAATATATTTGCAAAGCTTATAATCATTTGTGTCTGAACTTTTTAAAGCTTCAGTTAGTGCTGTTGTATTGACCTACGTTATTTTGAACAGGCTTGAAATTAGACTAGAAACCTCCAGTGCACAATAGCTATGGTGAAAGTGTGCAGTGCTATTGTGCTTAAACCTGTTCCTTTCAGTCAGTGCATACATATACTGTGTGCAGCAAACTCAACAGGTTTGAACAGTCACCTAGATGATTTTCCTCTAGGGATGTGGATTACACATGAGGTTACTTCCCTCACATCTTTTATACCTCACTTTATGGCCAGCAACCTCCCTCACCATGTAATTCACCACCATGGGGCTAAAAGTTGATAGCTCACACAACTATAGATTCCTTAGATGGTCACATTTCTAGGACCCCACCTACTGACTATAAAAAGGCAGAATACTCCAAACTGCTGTTAAGTGCATATGAAAACAGTCAGAGCCTTCCCCTCAGCGGCTTTCTAGTCGCATATAGGCAACCCTCACATTCTCTGGAGAGAACCCCAACACAGCAGTGCTTAGTGAGGGCTTGTGAGTTTCCCCACACCCACCCGACGCCTCTCACCCCAGCAATCCCGGAAAAGGATAGAGTCCAGGAGTTTGGCCGATGACCTGGCCTGCCACCCAACTTATATTGCATCTCAACCTGATGCCTGTCCCTGCAGGTGGTGGGCCCACACAGAGGTGGCTACATGTAATTTCTGAGGTTGTGCGCAACCATAAATAGTTTGAATCTCCTGCTATTACTTCTCTCTGAACTAAATTGGTGTGTAACATGTGCATTATTGGCTTTGTGTTGAGGAAATTAGACTGATCTAATTCCAAATCCTCAAGTGCCTCATCCCCATTTATTCGTACTGCTAACAACATTGCTCTGTTCAACCCATTGTTTGTACCAGCCCACCACTCATCAGTACACAAAAGTCAGATTAGAAGAAGGGGGAGCGTTGGACTTACATTCATCAGGTTACGTGGCTCCAGGTGAACGCTGATGTTGCTCCTGGTCTGCTGTCCTCAAGTGCCTACAAAAGGATGAATGCAGCTTTAGCACCAGTTTTCATCCATCCTTAGTTTCAGCACTGGTTTAAAATAGTTAGTTCAACATTTTTCATGAAATAAGTTTATTTGTTTTCTGTCTGAGAAGGAAATGAGAAGACTGCCACAAATCTTAAGTATGTGGATTAAGTATAGCCCTGTTGTCAGGATTTGGTTGGCCAAGCTTAACATAATGACTGCTCACAAATCAAATCAAATATCTGGCTGTTTAGCTGCTAAATGCTCCACTATGTTCATCAGCTGGTCTCTAACTGTGGCCAGTGGTTTTTTACAGATGTTTTCTTTAAAAACATCTGCATGCTGTGGCTGAAAATGACACTATGAGAGTGAACCAGATCAGTAAAGTTGTGGAACAGAAAATGAAAACAATGAGATGAAACTCACTATAAAGCTGTAACGCAAAATATTCATCTGATAATTTTCTGTAGGTTCATCATTACCAGAGACACTTTTCACACTGTTTTCACATTATCAGTTGATACATAGTCATTATAAAAATATTGATTGCAAAATTTAAACTGATATATATTCAATATCAATATTCATCTCATTCTTGGAAAGAAAGCAAATGAGCATATTTCCCAAAACATAAAACTGTTCCTTTAAGATACACACATGCCAAAATGAACACAACTACACAACCAATAATCTCAAATGACATCTTATCAACCTATATAAACTCCTTGCATCAACATCCACAACAGATTAGTGTTATGTGACCACCTACTGGGTATGAGCATTCTTTTCATGCTGACTGCTATTATTGCATTGAACTGATACTGCATGACTGTGTCACTTGGTATATCATTATATTGTCTTGCTTCTGTGTCATATGCATTTATCTATCATGCACTTCTTCTGGGCTTTAGATTCATTGTGACAGATATTTGGTGTAGACAGATATAATGTGTGCTTCTTTCAGACAGGGAGGATTCTGCGCATTTCAGACATGAAATTTGTCATCTGTCAATGGCACTTTTACTGCAGCTGGAGACAGCGGGACACCTTCACTGCAGCTGTTACCAAAAATGTGACTGTCCACAGCCCTCTGCATCTCCATTAACTACGTCAATGGTACTCTGGTCCACACCTTCAGAAAGCACCAGGTCTGATGGTCCAGGCATTGTTTTTATATAAAGCATGTGCATGTACAAAATAGGAATTAGGACCAGCAGAAGAGGAGAATTCAAAGATGCTATTAAAAAAATTACATAACAATAACTTAAAATGTTGCCTTTACCAAATCGGTTTGGGACATCCAGTAAATGATTCTCTGTGCCTCATTTAAATATCTAGGACAACAGCATAGTAATTAAGTGTTAAAAAAAAAGAAGTTTGAAAAGACAAAAAAACTACATGTATTGGCACCACTGGATAATATCAGTCAATCATATTCATTAAAAGCCTGTCTTTAAACCTGTGATTTTTTTTTTATCATCAGATTTGATCAGATTTCTAAATGTGCTGTTGTGTATTGAAAAACTTCCACTTCTGACCGGAAGGGAAGTTTTCTTCTATTGGTCATAGATTTTGGAAAAATTTGATGTTATCATTACAAAAGTAATTCAAATATTTGAGTTATGAAGTTTATTATTGTTACTTGTTGTGAGTCAATTATATTTCACTGCATAGTATGCTTTTCTCATCTTTTTCTTTTTAAGTTATTTTTTTGGGCATTTTGCAATTTATTACAGTGAGAGAGAGGAATTGGAAAGTTGGCAGAAAGAGAGGGGATGACATTCAGTTAAGGGCCATGGTCGGACTCAAACCTGGCCACTGTGGTAATTAATCCGTTTTTCATTCATGTAATGCTTCATTCGTTTGCTTGATTAATTTCCTTTATGCTTAACAGATTTTAAGTTCGAGCCCTCGTTACATTCTGTTCATCCACCTGGTGATAAATGACATGACACAGCTGGCCCTGTCCACTCTTCTCCACGTCATCAGCTACACCCTGTATTCAATCAATGTCCCTTTCTGCCTCATCCTGCTGATCATCACCATCCTCACCACCCTCAACACCCCACTAAACCTGGCTGGAATGGCAGTCGAGTGCTACATCGCCATCTGCATCCCCCTCCGTCACGGCCTGATCTGCACTGTCAAAAAAACCTACATCCTGATTGGTTTGATCTGGGTTGTCAGTGCACTCTCTATCCTACCAGACCTCTTCATCCTCCTGGCCACAGAGCCTCTGCACTTCTTTCACTCCAGAGTGTTATGTACCAGATATACTGTGTTCAGAAGCATCTACAGCCTGAAGAAGAGGGAAGCGTCACACATTGTTTGTCTTGTCTTGGTTTGGCTCATACTCTTTTACACTTACTTTAGGATTCTGTTTGCAGCCAAGGGAGCAACTGCAGACTTTAAAAAAGCCAGAAACACTATTCTCCTCCATGGTTTTCAGTTGCTGTTGTGCATGCTTACTTATGTGAGACCCATGTTTCAACAAGGTCTACTCTACTTATTGCCCAAACAACACTTGTCCGTACGCTTTGCCTGTTACGTCATTGTCCAGATCCTGCCTCGGTTCGTTAGCCCCATCGTTTACGGACTGCGAGACCAGACCTTCAGGAGATATGTGAGAAGGTACCTGCTTTGTAAAGTGAGCACAAGCAGCCACCCAGAAAATGTCACCAAGCCGAACATGACGTCGTCTATGAGACAGCAGTGATAGTTGCTCAGTGTCCAACCAAAATCTGACGTGTGGTTGTGGTCAGACCCCTTCACTTTTTTCACATTTTATTTTTTTGCAGCGTTATGCAACATTTTTCCCTCAGAAATCTACTCTAATTACCCCATAAAGTGAAGTGAGTGAAAACAGAACTTTAGAATTTTTTGCAAATTTATTTAAAAAGGAAAAACTGAAAAATCACTTTGACATAAGTATTCAGACGCTTTGCTATGACACTTTTTTTTCTCCAGTAAACACTGAGGGGGATGATGGAAAGAAAATCAACTAAGTCCTGTTTCAAAGTGTTTATAAAGGATCATCTGACAAGATGTCTGCCTTGAGTGTTTGTGGGTACAGGGACAACAGTCAAACCTTTTGAGGCATGTGGGGGACCACAGACTGCTCCAGGCAGAGGTTGAGTACAGAGGTGAACATAGGAGCAAGAAGGTCAGCAAGGGCTTTAAGGGGGGAAAAGAGGGGGTGGATGGGGTTGGGGGGTAGTACTGCAACAGAATAATTATTTCATTAGCCTGATAATACAGGGTTTTTCCTGCATAGAGAATTGGGAGGCGGCCGCCTCCGTTAAATTTCATGACGCCTCCGCCTCCCGACAAAATTCTAGTTGGCCTACTTGTTTTCTCGGTACTCGGTGGATTTGGCGTTTGTAACTGCAATTGCAGCTGTACGCCACTACGGCAATGTAGTGGCACTGTATCGTAATCCGTGCATCAGGCAAAGCCATCCCAAATAACCAAAGAAGAAGGATGTGAACGTGCTAGATTTTCTGCCTGCAGAAGGAGGCGACCTGATTTGAGTTCAGACATCATTAGTTCTTTTAATAGGGGAAAAAAAAGTTAATTCATGTTACTGACGAGATATGGTTAATTTGTCAGAACTGAAAGTAGGCCTAGTCCTCAGCCACAAGTGGAAGGTGCCGGTGGAAGGTGACCCCCCCC